AGGAAAACCCAGGAAGCACTCAGTGTAGATATTTAGAAAGTTAGGAACTTAAAACATACATCTTCCGACTTATGGAAGAATGGCTCTTAGTAAGTTTGTAACAGGAGAAAGAAAAGATTAATGCTGTTGCTTTCTTTATTTTTTGTTCAACTGGCAAAGTCTTGAGTTTTCCAAATTTTTAACAACTATAGCAGTTAAACTATTTTCTTTTATGTTTCTTTTTAGACTTTATCTGACTTGGACAGTGAATTGAAGTATATTACTGATGTTGTTAAGGTATGCACAGCTTCTTTGCTTACTTTTTTCCCCAACATTGTATTGTCATGTTTCTGGCCTTTTTCATTAATAACTTGTTGCTCTCCCTTAGCTGAACGCCTTTGACCAACGACATCTCGATGATATCGACTTTGATGTACGTCTGTCAACATTCCAGTCAATCACAGCCCACATCAAGGAAATGCAAGCAGTGGATATTGACTTCCTTATCCCCGTTATGCACAACTGCTTCTATACCATCCAGGTTGGCTGAATGTTCCTTCTCTTGCTTTATGCACCATGTGTCCATCATGAATCTAACTTCCAGATTATTTCCATTGGCTGTTTTTTGACACTGTGAAACATTCAGGGAATGTATTTGAGTCTTCTTGCAAAAACCTGTTTTTAAGTTTTGTCCACTTGCCTTTTCACCTGTGTGTCCAGAAGGTCACATACAGTGCATCGAGAAGGCTCACCCAGGCGCAGTGCACCTTTCTGTCAGTGAGCCATGGAACTGTTCAGTCAATTTGTACCGTGTAAAAGGCATATTACAGTCTTGAAAGGCTGCTTTGCTTTTCATTGTAGCATGTTCTGGTTGTGTGGGCCTGCTGGTAAATCTAAAAGATTTTTCCTGGTTGCAAGTCTGGGCATTAATTCAGGACTAGAACTTCTACAGGAAGGGTCTCAAGAGTTACTGGATCTCTATAGGCCTTGTTATGTTGTGTCCAGTGGTACTGTTCAGTCCAGTCTTTTGGGGAGAAAAAGGTATTATATCCAGACTCATGTGGTACAATTTCTTCATCCGCTCAGCTAGGGGATATGGCTCTCAGTGACAACGCAAGCCTTTGCTTGACCAGTTTTATCCGCCGACTGGCAGAAATCGACCACACAGAAGATGACTACAAGGAGCTAATCCAGCACACTCTCCTGGAATCTGTGAGAAGGGGGCTGAAGAGTAAGACTGAGGTAAGACAGTGCTATCTGATGACACATCTCCAGCTGTCCTCAGGACACCAGGGTATATGAGACATTTTATGGATGAGTTCTGTGAGTCCCTTGCTAGGATAAGAAGTGCAGGGACCCACTGTAAACTTACCCTTCATTTGAAATCTTACAAAAATCTAGAAAGTTGTAGAACTCAGCTGTCTTGTGTTTCTTTGCCATTGTTCAGCTTTTCTTAATTGTGACTCGTTCTTTGGAGCGGAGACTTTGATTTATGTGCAGTCCAAAATACAGGTGTATTTGCTGTTACTAAAGAATAGGGCTTGTTGCCCTGAACCACTTGTAAATGACAGCACTGCTGTTCTGAGGAGTGTGTGGCAACCTCTTCAAGGGGTACTTAACGTTCCCTGCTTTCTGTTTGCAGAGCATCCAGCAGGACTACACATCACTGCTTTCCTGCCTCATTCAGACATTCCCAACAAATCCTGAATTCCGGGATTTGGTCCAGTTGACCAACCGCCATGATCCTGACATGGACTTCTTTGAGAACATGAAACACATGCAGGTAAAAAGCAACAGGCATTCCCTAGTACCTCTCTTCCCCTGCTGATGTAAAAGCATGTTACTGTGGGGTAATGTTTTCCAAAGCATTTATGTGCTGTCTTTACAAAGAAATTGAACCTGTGTCATTAGATGTTGTTAAAAAAAGGGATGTGGGCATCATCACATGGGTGACTGTGAATCAAGATCATATTTCTATCTAGAAATTTCTTGGTTTTACAAATTAGCAGCACTGTTTTTTACCTCTTCCTAATTTAGCTAAAAGAATTGCTTTCATTTTAAGTGATCATTCACGATCTTGAGCAGGGAACTCCACATTACAACCTACATGTGACCCAGCCCACAGTCAGGAACAGTGTCCTGAGGATCCCTCTGACATAGGCAGGGAACAGGCCTCTGTTTTTCCTAGCCTATTCCCTGCTCCTCTACATCTGGAGGCTCTGCAGCCCCTTTTCATTCACAGAGCTTTGTAATACAACCTTGCGCAAAGCCTGGTCACCTGATTTTTCTTGCAATATGAAATTACAGTGTTTCTCCTGCTTTTACTGCAATCAGAGAGTGCCTTTTCTACATCTATAGTTATAGGTGGAGTCTAAATTTTTTCCTTGTAATTTTATCAGGCCTTCTCAAGTTGCCTCCCTTGTCTGGTGCCTGAAGATGGCACAGTCATACGATGCAAATTCACAGTGAAATATCCCATTGAGTTGGAATATTTATTGAGGCAAAAGGCTAGTGAAACCCTAGAGACTGAAGGAAAAGGGCATGGTCTGTCCTTGGAAATGACCTTAATATGTTTATGTCATTACTTAAAATTGAGGCGTTTTCAGAAGTGATGAATGTCTGTGCTCCCTCGTGCTAGCTGTGATTCAAGCAGCACCTCATTCACTGTCTCTCATGTTTGGCTCAGGTCCACAGGAGGGCACGAGCTCTGAGGAAACTGGCTAAGCAGCTCACTGAAAAAAACCTTGTGCTGTCTTCTAAATCCCTGCAGAACTACATCATGCCTTATGCTACTACTGCCATTTTTAATGAAAAAATGCTTAAGGTGGGCTTTTATATCTAATGTATCCATTTGAATATTTTCAACTTTCTTGTATACCGTTCTCCTTGAAAGACTAACCACTTTAAAAAGCTGATAGGTTTGTGGAGTGAGTGTTCCCCTTGCAGACAAGAGCACTGTGCTCCTTTTGGTGGCAGAAAGAGGGTTTGGAAGGTGCAGATGCAGTCTGGGCCCAATCCTATATCTGCTAAACCTGTCCTGTTTCTTGAAGGTGAATCTCTTAACTGAGGGTTGTGAAGTTTTTTGTTTTGGTTTGGTATTTTACTTGGGGTTGTATTTGTTTGCATTTTTTGTAATCAGGTTATTTTTTTCCCCTCTGCCTCCAAAATGCTCTCTTCCTGTTCAGTTGTGAGATTAGTTACTGTATGGCAGCAGAATGTGTGCAGTGAGGAACATAGGCTGTGCCTAGTAATTGAGGTGGGAATAAATACTGTTTTCTTTGGAGTTATAAGGGAACTACAGGAATTGGCTGAAAACCTCAGAAATTATTAGCAGCTTTGTAATTAAAGTTTGAAGGGTGACATTTTGTTAGTCACTTTCCACACATTTTGTTGAAAATATATGTGATGAAATTTATTGTAATGTCAATGTAGCTAGACTTTCTACTGGTGACTTGGAAAAGCAAGGTTTCACGCCTCTGTAGTTCCCTGCACACTAACGGTAAAACAGCAGAGCTGCATGTGTCAGACCAAGCAAATGTCTAATTTGCCCACTGTCAGAAATACTCTTCTGAAGCTGAAACAATTAGAGCTTAGGCACAGGACCCAGCACCTGCAGCCATACAGACTGTGCCCATCAGTAGAGTGACTGCAATTGCTCTTTGACCAATAGGAAGTAAAATACATTGATTGAAACCTTGTTGAAGAAACAAACACATTTTATTTTAAGTCAGAAATCGGTTAACAGTGTGTATTTCTAGTTGATCAGCGTAGCCCAGGAATGTGCCGTGTGTCTGTGGTTGTGTATCTTGACTGGGTTTTAGTTCTTCACACAAGTGAGCCCATAGATTTAGTTACGTGAGAGAAGTTAAATGTGTGCAGAAGTATTCGGAGGAAGTGGGTCTGGAGATCTGCTTGGTGAGCTGTGATAGGTTTTGGGGTTTTTTGGGGTTTTTTTTGTTTTTTTTTTTTTTACCTGATGATGGGGAGGAGGTCTAAAAGAGCTGAATACCAAGCATCCCCACTAGACAGACATTATCTCTTCTGGCTTTTGTTGCTTTGAGTAAAGTATGCTTTAGACCCATGTTCATGACAAATGCTAACAGCAACTGAATTTCTATCTTTTGGGCAGCATGAAAATATGGTAACAGCCTCAGTTGAAGTTGTTGGAGCTGTCTGCCGACATCTCTCGTGGTCAGCGTACTTGTACCACTTAAAGCATTTCATCCATGTCCTGCAAACAGGACAGATCGGTCCAAAGCTGGGAGTCAGGTAGGTGCTGTGAGAGATGATGCTCTAGATTCCTCCAAAGACTGCAAAGGCAAAATTTGGTGTCTTAAGGAGCATCACATGGATTTTAGCCTCTTCCCTGGGATGAGAGATTGCCAGCTTTAAGGTGGGTTTATACAAGTGAAAGTGGGCATGGCCTTGCAGCCTGCAACTATGAAGGATTAAGAGGTAATTACTTTCTTATGCTGTGTCTCACTGAGTGCATGCCAGCATTAGCAGCTTCTGCTCTGTCAGGCTGTCCTTGCTCCTGGGACACCTCCGTTACCCCAGTACCACTGTCTGTGAGGTTTTACAGTGAGCTAGGTCACAGAATGCATCTATCTGAAAAGCAACCAGGTTTTATTTCTTGGGTTGTTATTTCATGATAAATCTCCTCATGCAGTGTCACTGAGTCTCAAGTTTTCAGAAAAAGTGCTTTCACGATTTTCTGTTGTGTTAGTCTATGCAGCCTCTTCGTTTTGTGCAGGGGGCTGATCCTTCTTCATGTTTTCCTTCCACAGCCTGTTAGAGACAGTGCTGGAAGCCTTTCACTTTGACCACGAAACGCTTGAAAAGCAGCTTGTGACCATTGACAGCCAAGGTGAGCTTTCTGCTCCTGATCGTAGAAACATTTCCTCAAACTGCAGCTAATTGAAATTTTATGTTTTACTCTTGAGGTCAGCTACTCCCAGCTTTAGCTGAAACCAGCTGAAACAATTTGCCTGTTGGAAGGTAGTTTTGACTTGCCTTCTCAGGAGCAATGGAGACTGTCCTCCTGTATGTTGACAAAGTGAGGGACGGTGGGGGGGAACCATCTCCGCATTACCTCTCCCTCCTAGGTCTCCATAAGCCAAAACAGCCCAGGCTGGGTTTATGCAAATCTAGGGGATTCTCCAAAGTCTGCACACACCCACGTGGCTGCTGACACATCGGAGGTCTTTGTCGTTGATGCTGCCTGTTCCTGTTCTCATGTTCACCGTGAGAAGGGTGCTGTATGTCCTCACCTTGCTTCCCCTGCCATTTCATGGGCAGAAGTGATATCTTTGCCTTCTTCACCATTGTGGTTACCTATGTTGTGGCCTTTGGGATATTCTGAGGAAGAAGGAGGGTATCTCACAGCTGTGCTTGTCGGTACCTCTTGCCTTGTGAAATTCTCAAACATAAGTGAATGGCAGTTTTCTTAAGGTTCAAGCACATTGACCTTTGCTAAGCTGTCTATGGACTTCAGCTGAAGAGTAACCTAGTCTTTGATTTAAACCTAGCCCTGAGGGGTGTTTATCAGAAACCAGCATGCCAGAGCTTCTCTACCCAGTAAAATAAGCCTGGTGCTTACTGATTATTTGCTGTTGCTGATGATAGGCAGCAGCTTTGTCCAGAACAAAGCCATCATAAGAGTCTCTTTTTAAGGGCTCAGTTTTTGTAGCCTCCTATATTTAACTGTGATTTTGACATTTGACAGAAGCTGCTACCATGGACCTTGAGCCAGTGGTGGAGGCTGAAGAAGCCATGGAGCTGGAGCAGAGTGAAAAGGAAGAGGAGGTAGCTGAGGAAAAGAAAGGGAAGAATCTCCCTGAGGAGCTGGCAGAACCTGAGCAAGCAGCTGAGACATCTGAAGATGCTGAGCAAGTGACCAAACCTGTTTGTTTCTTACCCCGAAATAAAGAGGAGCTGGAGTGTCTGATCAAACACATTCAAGATACAGTTACAGTCAACATCTTGCCTAAATTGCACAGGTGTATTGTTGCAAAGGTGAGGAGTTGGCATTGGAAAGGTGTTTTGCAGGCCTGTGCTTCTGCTATAAAAGTTGTGGTGCTACAGTGGAAATGCAGCACGTAAAAAAAAAATATAAAATAGACACAACTGGAGAGAGACCACCAGTAAGCACAAAAGAGGCTTCATCCCCTTTGTTGTGTTGTGGAGATTACTGACAGACCCTCTCTGGTCAGTGTGGGTGTGATGTCTACTTCCCTGCTGAGAACTGGCTTGAACCACATAAGTTAAATGGTTCACTTTGTGCAGCCTGTTGAAAAGTTCTCAGCTGCTTGCTAAGCACCCAACTTAGCTTCTGTTTTGAAAACACAGAGATTCATCTCACCTGTCCTTTAGCTGTCTGGGTTTTTCCCGTAGTCGGCAGAGGATAGCAGCTTGCCTCGTTGGCCTCTTCTAGGGTTTGTTGAGAAAAAGCAGTATTTGTTAGGTATATTGAAAGTGCGTTGTGTCTTGCTCTCTTCAAAAGGTTAAAAGAGACGAGGAACACAAGCTTGTGAAATCCAATGTTGTGAACGATGATGAGGTAGTTCGTGTTCCGTTAGCTTTTGCAATGGTCAGGATGATGCAGTGTCTTCCCCAAGAAGTGATGGAAGCCAACCTACCAAGGTAAATCCCGTCAGAGCTCCTTAAGTGCTGTTCATTGTCCTGGTAGTGAGTTCAGGCACCTTTCTCAAGCCGTGGTTACATACAAAGCTAAATCCAAGAGGGGCATCCTAACAGTCCTTAAACACTTTTTTTGGAAACTCATTTTCCTAATGACATTCCCCTCTGTCAGCATTTCACTTCTGTAAAACTAAGTTTGAAAGGAACATGGTAAATCCTCAAATAAGAGCAGAGCTGTGAAGCAAGGTGCAGAGTTAGGGGTGGCAGAGCTGGGGAAAGAATAATGTACAGAAAGAAAGGACAATCTGTAAAATGTCTTGAGGAACAGTAGGTGTGTGTATGACTATAAAGCCGTTCTGTGAGACTGGCTTTGTGTATAGCTCTGGTTGTGAAACAGCCCTGAAAAGCAGCCTCCTTAGCTAGCAGTGTTAATTAGTTCTGTTCTGATCGGAGGTGAA